TCTTCAAAAGCTGCTTCCACTTTACCCTAGTCCATGGGTGTCTGTATAATTTGAAACTTTGTTATATCATAAAGAAAGGGAAGTTTTCTTTCCCCTGACTACAGTTATGGGTATTGGTGGGCTTCTGGGCAGCATCTCCTGGGCACCCTGGAATCCTGATGGAGTGCTGGGAGAGAGTGAGGGGGGGAGGACTTGGGTTAACTTGAAGACTGACCTAGTAGGAGCATTTCCCTTAACTGATTTGTAAAGTAAATCAAGCATAGAAGCAAAGATGAAAACAGAGCACAGAAAACATCTCTTCTATTCTCCCAATATTTTCTTAGCTCCGAGTCAGCTGGTATTCTCTCTCAGAGTCATGGACCTTTCCCATCTCTGACTGTGACAACACGTCCAACTCTGAGCCTCTTCCTTGTGTGCCTGGCAGTAGCTGCCACACTGTGTGTTATTTAAGAAGCTCCATTTGGCTCCATACTCTACAGAGGAGAGGAACATATGGCCTTGACTTAAAAATATTCATGAGTCATGTTGCCCAGTGCTGAAGTACAGCCACCTCTAGGGCAATTTTCCAACAGCTCATATTGGTTTACAACATGGAATGAAGACCAGATGAAGTTCCAGGAGGTATTCAGAGGAGACAGAATGTAGTGACGCAAGTTAGAATTTGGTCACTATGCTGGGTTGCATGTCCCTTCTGGAAAGAGGCATGGAGTGTTAGTAGAATATCAAAGTAAGGGATCCCACTCTCTGGTTCCATTTATAGAGCCAATGTTCTGCTAAATCCTTCTGTAGAAAGAACTTGAGTAAACTTGGAAGTGAGGGTTACTCCATGTATTGACTTCCTAGTGATTTTCTTCTTTCCATGACCACGAAGGGCTCACCTTGCCTCATGCTGTTTGCTTGGTCTAGAATACCACATGCTTTAACTCCCGTGCTGCTAACAGAAGATTCTTTCAGGGATAAGTGTTCATGATTTAAAAAAAAATGGTTATGGCTTTTAGGGAATTTCTGGGAAAGTTCAGATTGTGGATTTTTGTTATTGTTTTGGTTGTTATTTTCATTTTAACATTTCTGAGGTTTCTACAGAAGTGGTCCTGAGTGTGTTTGGCTTCCTGGGGACATTTTATGTGATTTGTCAAACACCAATATTAAAGAAGCACAGTCAGAACAACTGGGGCTGGGGGATAAAATGTCTTAGCTCTCAGATGGTCTAAGAGTAGACAGGTGGGACGTCTATAATAGTTTCATGATTTAGAATACAATGTACTATTTGCCCTCTATCCTTTTTTCATTGTAAATTAATCATTAGAGGGCTCTATCTGAAACACTTTTTTTCTCACTCTGTATCCTGTTTCAACCTGCCCCATGCAGGCGACTGCACCTGACTGTAATTTGGGGAACACAAATTGCAGTGGTTCAGCACTTTGTGACTCCTCTAATAAGTTAATGTCACTCCCATCTTCTGGCACAATTCAATTCAGAAAGGTTGCAATATATCATTAATGCATTAAAAAATGTTGTGTTTTTAGACTGAATACCTGGAATTAATTGGGAGCCTGACAATCCAAAACAGACTTTTTTACAGTGCTTGGGAGCCCCGAGGAAGCAATTCTTGTTTAAGCATCTGCATTATCAGAGAAGTCCAAGTACTTCAAAGGTCTGTGCAGGATGCTCAAAATAGGCACCTTGCCAAACAGAAATTGAAACACATATACATACTATACTATTTGCCTTACAGAAATTAATTTTCAGCCAGCAGCACCTAGGATTATTTAATATTTATCTTTAGCAGCAGGAAGATGAATCTATTATTTTATGAGTTGATTTTGTTATTTTACCTGAGTATTTCAGTCAGTCTTTATGGTAGGAGACACTTATGGTCTCCCCTATGCCCTGCCTGTTACCCTCTTTTTAAATTAGTATTATTTTTTAAGTATTCAGAAGCAATGGGAAGATTCATTTTTTTAATCACTGGATTTCCCCAGTTGGTTCCCTGGGAAGAAATGATTAGGTCCTTTCAGTGATCTGAGTAAATGTTAAGATCCAGGGTCATATCAGTTGAATGGACTCTGTGGTGGTAGTAGGTGTTGAAGAAACAGTTTTGGATTGCAAGTAAGGAAATGGAATTCTAGAGCCTCTCTTCACCTTTGTGACCTGAGAGAGATCTCTTAACTTTTCCAGAGCCTCCCCCTCATCACCTGTACCTAAGTAGGTTAGAGTCAGTAGTCCCTACAGAACTCTTGCCCCTAGCAATTCATCATTCTGAAATGCCACACGATCCTACAGTTCCTCTTTCTGTTGCTGAGATTCCAAGGGGTTGTGTGCTATGTTGATTGTTTGTGCCTGTGAAATTACAGCACCAAGAAAGGAATATGTCACTGTGTAGAATAACAAAATGACTGATAGAGTGTCAGGGGGACTTGAGTGTATAAAAAGCCACAATATTGCAAAGTACCTTGTAGATGGGAACTGTTAAATATCAATGGAGCATTGCTGTGTCTGCACCGTCAGCACTTCCCTGTGACCACAGTGAGAGAGATGCTAAAATGTCCTTTCATGGACCACATTATGTGCTGCTTACGATGAATATTCTGGCCATGGTTTATTACATTTTTGATAAATTGTAACTTCTTGGCCCCAAATTTGGTTAGCTTATCTCTAGTGCCATTTAAATCTTAAAAGACTGAATTTGCCCCAAAGATTTAATCATCATTCAGCAGCGGTCTGTAACCATGTGGTACTAATTTAAATTACTGTAGCAATGGACAAGTCTCTATCCAGAAATTAATAAATGCAATTTATAAGGAATGTTAAGTAACAACTAACAATTTAATGCTTTGTGAGTTTCAGCCAAACTGATTAAATAATTAAAACAGATTTCTAGGGATAGGGGAAGAGATTTTACCATAAAACAGATAAACAGTTTGGGAATTGTATGCATTCTTTTAGACATTTAAGATAATTAAATCCAAAACCTATGTTAAAATAACACTGAAGGTCTGGTTTAAATCAGTAGTGGGAATTGCTAAGTTAAGAGTTGAACACCATCTTCAATGTCTGCCCCATTGTTTTAAATAAGGCATTTGGGGACTCTCAGAGCACTGGGTCAGTTTATAGACCATGCTATTTGGTAGAACAATATTGGTCTCAAGCACAAATAAATGTATTGAATGGAACTACCTTCTTGCCATATTTCCAGGCTTTTACTAAGCTAAACTAGATGTTTAGAATCATCTCAGAGCTATTGTACAAACCTAAAACTTCCTGGTTTTCAAATTCTTATTTGTTTTGAAAAAAGATAAAGGAATTTAGAGATTATAGCTGTTTTGATTAAATATGTAATAAGTGTAATACATACTTTTTGGGCTTAAAAGAATTCATTTTGCAACAAATTGTTGAATGCTTATATATGTACAATACAGGTATGTCTGTGATACAAAGATTAATAAATAAGGAATGGAAACACCCTGTTTTCTGATGAATAATAATTTTGTAATAAGCAGATGGGTAGTCCCCTTGATAGAAATGACTGTAAGTTACCATAGGACATACTCCTTTTAAGGATTTTTTTTTTTCAGAGAGAGAATGCATGCGCTCGCGTGCACACACGCACACACACACACAGAAGCAGGAGGGGGAGGGGCAGAGAGAGTGGGAGAGAGACTCTTAAGTAGGCTGGATCTTACGACCCTGAGATCGTGACCTGAGCTGAAATCAAGAGTCAGATGCTTAACTGACTGAGCCACCCAGGTGCCCCAAGGATAACTTTTTTAAGTGATTTGCCTAAAGGGCTCAAAAGGTGCCCATCATTCATCCTTGTATCTGAAGCCCACCAACCCTGGTGGAGAAAGACTATCTAACCACTTGTGTCAGGGCCTCCTTTCTTAACTGTGCAAAAGCTGGGTGGTATTTGCAACATGGAGTGGAAATGTGAAAATTGTTTGAAAACCATCTTTTAGAGGGGTGCATAGTTAGTGAACACTAGTTGGTTGAATTTTCACTGAACTGGCCAGCTATATGGGGGTTAAGCAGATGCCAGTTGAATGTTCTATTGCCCGATAGGTTTGGAATTCATTACCTACAAAATTGAACTTACCACACTTTCCTCTAAATGTACTTGCCCTTATGTGATAACCAATTACTCTGGTATGCCTGGGACTGAGAGGCTTCCCAGAATATAGCTCTCTTAGCACTAAAACTGGGAAAGCCCAGACAAACCCAGATAAGTTGATCACCCTACTTTTACTTTTCCTCTTGTCTCCTCTGTCCTTATTAATCATACTTTCACTTACCCAGTCATTCTGGACTTTTCCAGTTCTTTTTCCACATTCAGATTTTCACTGAATTCCATCAAATATTTCATCCCTTCCTCTTCTCCAGGCTCCTTGTTATTGCCTTGGCTTAAGCGATGTCATGATTTTCCCGAACTATTGAAACAACTGCTAAACTGAACACCCCACCTCTAGACTTACTCTCACCACAGTCTCCCCATGACCCAGCTGTCAATGATATTTTAAGATGTCTATTCACTTTCTCAAGCCTTCAGTGTTACTTATTACATAAAATCCCAATTTATATACATGAGATATAAAAGGCTCTCTCTCCGTCATCTGGTTCCTGCCCAAGTCTCCAGGCTCACCCCCATCTGCCTTTCTTCTTGAACTCTATTCTCTAGACTTTTGGATCCACTTGGAGTTTCATGGGGGCAGAATACTAATTCACACTTGTACACCTTTGGCTATAATATGTCCTCTTTTAAAAATATCTTTCCCAGTCCTCTTTTCATCTCACAAACAGTGAATTATTTTTTAAGACCTAGTTCAAGCATCACATTACTTTATGAAATCCTCTTACCCCCAAAGTAAAATTGACAACTGTGCATTTTGTGCTAGTCTGTGCCTTGCATACTCATCATGGACCTAAAGACACATGTTACAGTTATTTATTGAGTAGTCATATATATTTAGTGAAGGAAAACCGATTTTATTAATATTTATTTTTAGGTTTTGGTATTAGGTCTGATGCATAACAGACCCTGAAATGTTGGTGGAGTGAATGAAGAATCTCTGTCGCTACATCATGGGAACTATACTGAGACAGCAATGCAATGTGTGTGGTGAGTCTCCAAGCACTTTGATAAGGCCCTTCTCATATCACCTAGTTGAAACTTTTAGTAGCTGTTTACCTGTTTATCATTTTACTATTATGTCATCTCTTTGCTCATAGAGTAACTTCCAGAAGCAAATTTTATGTCCACAAGTTAGGAGGGTTGCCATTTTGTATCATTTTTTTTCTTATACTGTATTAGTTTTGATTCAAATCTAACAAACCCTGTTGACTGCCTATCCAACATCCATCTCTCTGTGCCACCCCACAGTTTATCCTTCCAAACAGAATCCTCTTCATTCCAGGGTTACCTTTCCTTTGCAAGACTGCATACTTCTGAAGAGGTTGCTTCCCTTCCCAAGGGGGTGGCTCCTGATCAGTCTAAGGCAATCATAGTGGCCCTATACCCCAAAGCTACCTAAGGATGGTTTGAAGTTCTTGTGATACAATTCTGGCAATGAGATGTAAGATGAGTCTGTTGGAGATCTTTTGGAAAGTTTCCCTCTTACAAGAATGGTACCCAGGAAGAAATGGTCTCTTGTTCTCTGGCTGTCATTCTATCTATATGTGACACCTAAAACTACTATGGCCATCTTGTGACATTGAGGGAAGCCAGCATTTAGATGAAGCCAACACTGAGACCAACATAGCAGAAAAACAGAAGGAATCCAATCTGGATGTCATTGTGGAATCTCTGATCCTGCCCCAGCTAGAGCCCTCAGTCTCTTTCTAGACTTATAATTATGTTGCCTGTGGTTGAAGTTCTCATAACTGACACAGACAAGTTGATCATTGTGATCTGAGAGGGCCAGGGCCATTTGTTTAATACGTACCATCTGGTACTTCGAGGGTAAGATAGAAATATGTGAAGTATACTCAGAATAAAGGCAAAAACCAAAGTGACCACCTGTGAAGATTCCAGTTCTACCATATTTATCAATAACTATTTTGAATGAATCAATCAATAACTGAAGATTCTGTTGGAGGAATTATAATAAGTGATTATCAGGAACACAGACTCAAAGCAGTCATAACCTTTTTTTGTATGAGCTAATGGTGTCATTCATGAGCTGACTTAAATTACTATACAATAAAGAAGAAAGTAATGGATATTATGGTAGTGGTAATGATCCAACGTTTTATTGAGCAATTACTATGTACTAGACACTTGTTCTAAGTCCTTCCCAAGAACTTTTATTTGCATCAGCTATATTTTCTCTTTCAAATATTTTCCTCACAGACCACTTCACAGCCTATAAATACTTATAAGCCACTACACTTATATAAGTCTCTCTCATTCTGTAAGAGAGAAGAGAAAACCACTACCTTTCCTGACTTTGCTTTCCTCTCAGGATACCACCATGTTCCCCTTTACAAACTTCAAGTTTTTTGTTGTTTTTTTTTTATCGTTAATAAACATTATTCTTTAGAGCTGTTTTAAGTTCATAAGACAATTGAGAAGAAAGTACAAAGTTCCTATATATCCCTGTCCCCACACATACACAATCTCTCCCACTAACCATATCCCCCCACCATAGTGGTACATTTGCTATAATCCATGAGCCTATATTGACACATCATTATCACCCAAAGTCCATAGTTTGCATCAGGGCACATTCTTGGTGTTTTATGTTCTGTGTTTGGGCAAATTTAGAATAACAGACATCTACTGTCACACAGAATAGTTGCACTGCCCTAAAAGTCTCTTTTGCTCTATTTATCCCTCTGACCCCCTTTACCAAGTGTTTTGAAAAAATAAATACATGACACCTTCTTCTACAAGCCTCTGATTTCTTCACATCATGTTCCTTCTTTGATCCACTGCACTTATTTTCATTCCCCTCATTTTTCTGAAACCGCCATGAAAAAGGTCACCCTTGACCATGGTATTGACAATTCAGTGACTGTACCCATGCTGGCTACTTCTTTTGTCATCCCCTCTATAGCAACATCATCTATCCAGTTGACCCAAGCCAGAAACCTCCACCTTTACTTGTCTCTCACCTCCCTTCCCCTCTCACTTGTCAATCTTATCATTCTACCTCCAAAATTTTTATTGCATATGTTTCTCTCGGGAGAAATAACTTGTCCCACCTTAGGCTTCCATCATCTCTCCTCTAGACTACTGTAAATACTTCCGAGCTTATTCTCATGTCAACCTACACCCTACAGTGAAAGTCAGAGTAGCTTTCTGAAACGCCATTGTCTCCCTGGCAATCCCTGTTTGAAATACTTTAATAGTATCTCTTCCTTGCAGAATAGCATCTAAACTCCTCGGCTCTGTTGTAAAGGTCTTCACAATCCTGCAAAGGTGCTCCTTCTCAGTGCCACCTCTGGCCACTCCTCCTCCATGTTCTCTCTTCTACCTAGACTGGAGTAGTCTGGGCCCTGAGCATGTGTACCTCCACCGCTCGGTGACTTTGTATAGTCTATTCTCTAGGTGTAGAATGCCATCTCTCCCTTGTCCAGGTAATGAACTTCTACTGCCGCAGAGGCACATTGCAAATGTTCCCTGATTTCCGAAATACCCATCTTTTCATAGCACTTTTCATAGCACATCAAAACTATTGTGCTGTGTTGGTATATTTGTTGATGTGCCTATTCCGTTTTCTTAAATGTGAGCTTTTGAAACAAGGAACTCTATCTCATTTACCTCAATATCTCTAGTACCTGGCACAGTGTCGAGTACTTAATAAATGTTTGTTGCATTAAGGCTATTGTTATGGAGTGAGCAGAGTGTAATGGGAGCTCTGAGAGGGAACAACTGGCAGGGGGGTTTTATTCATTCATTCATTCAACAGTTAAGTACAAAATGCATATTATGAGCCAAGCATTCGCCTAGGCACTGGACATAGTGAACAAACAGAAGATTATCTTACACTCATGGGACATAACGTTCTGTTTTAGTGGGAGATGACAGATACAGTGTGTTTGGCAAAGGGCCAGTATCATGAATGAATGAAAGGGATAAGACAGAAGTATAAGGCATAAGGAGTGGTAAGGACCATTGACAAATTGAGCAGCCCATGACCCACCCAAAGGCATTTACTTAAGATCACATTAAAACATCAGTAACAGCAGCTGTGCATGACCCGGCCACTGAATGTATTCGGGGGCCAGATTTAGTCTGTAGCCTACCTTTTTGTGGTCCCTGTTGCAGAAGCATCTTTGTTCCAGATCTTGTTCCTTGAAAAAGCAGGGAGAGGCAGTAGATCCTTGAATGCTGGCAGAATATCCTTATTAGTTTGACTGCAGTCTACCTTAATAACAGCACCTCACTTTGTCTTAGCCTCTTTATCCTATACTTATAGCTTAATTTTTTCAACAGCCACAAAGCTGTCCTGAGGAAATAGTCCACTTGCATTCCTTGGAAAGAATACCCTTGTACTTGGATATCAAAAGCCCAGCAGTGAGAACACCAAGGGGCAAAAAGAGCATGGGCTCTCTCATACCACATTCAGAAGCTTGGGTGTATTAATACAACTTCAGCAAGCATCCTTTTTAGGGGATAGGAGAACAAAGAAGTGTGCCATTAGTATGTGTGGGTATGACTAGATGGCAGAAAAATAAACTTCGTAGTATTTCAAAGATGAAAAGGCACTTTTAAGGAACTCTAAATTAACCGTTTCCTTTTATAGACAGGGAAACTGAAGCTCAGGAATTAGTAACTTACCCAAAGTTGTGCACCTGGCATATATTAAAACAGTGTGAATAGTTGACCATCTACTTCTGCCCTGTGTTAGCAGCCAAGGGTTTTAAGCAATATGGATAGATTGGAGGCTCTGACCAGCAAACCGTAGGTGTTTTTCCAAATTTCTGTGATCCAAATGGCCAGCTCTTAATGGGGAAGAGATCTATGATAGAGGTAGCTGGAGATGGATTATAGTTGGTAGAAGATGTGAGGATGGTGCATGAAATATGTTTTACTCCAGCAAGAAAATTAAAGCAAGAGGTTTGCAGAATTATAAGTTCTGATAGTGTGTGGGAGAAGAGTACTGTTTATCTATTAAATGATTTATTAATCCAATTTATCTATTAAATTATTCATTCATTCATTCATTCATTCACTCAGAAATGTTGAACCCTTTCTATTACTTACTTCTGAACTAAGTGCTGTGGAAGACATAATATAGTAGAGTGCTCCTCCTTCCCTGAGCTCAAAGAGCTCACAGTCCCACAGAGAAGCCAGATGTGCAGGCAAATCATCACAATGTTCTGTGCCATGTGAACATGTATGTTGTTCCTGAATAAAGGGAAAGTCTACCTGAGCACTGAAGGCAATTTGCTCTAAGTCAAGTGCTGTGTTAAAAATACTATTGCACCCTCCCTAGTCATCCTAACAATGCTGCCTGTGCACTAATAATCCTCTGAAGAATCTTTCTCCCTCAAGAAAATTAACCTGCTTAGAAGAGATTATGAAGAGGTTTTCTGCTTCTTTTGAAGTTACAGTACTTGCCAAGTGATGTACCCTGTGTGTCTGTGACACTGTTCCCAGAAGGACCAAGGCCCCTGAGTCATAAGATGGCAGTCATTCTCTGCAGCCATTGGCTCCCAAGTAGCAGGCATTTCCATCCATCTGCAAAAGGAAGAAGAATTAGCCGCCTGCTTGAATCAACCGTATGTGTGTTGGTTAGGAGTTGTTATGAGACGTACCCCTGACAAGAACCGAGTTGCCCAGCCAGCTTCCCTTTATCAGATGGGCCAGTGCCAATCATCATTGTTCTCGCAAGGTGATAGCAGGAGTTGTTCCCCTTTAGAAGATGGTGGCATTCTGGCAGGGTCACCATGGTGTTAAGATGCATAGCATTTGTCAGGTTTGCCTAGGACTTCTGGAGGTTTAGTTATGAAACTTGTTAATTGAGCTATAAATATAGCTGCAGCCTTTGCCTTCCAGTAAGGCAGTGTGTTAATTTGGGTTTGGCAGGGGGATGGTGCAAGCTGCCAATGTTATGTTAGGATTAGTAACGTGCAG